CCAAAGACGTGCTGGGGGGGGGGGGTTAAATTGGCTCCTGGGAAAACTGGCCCTCGGGTGTGTGCGAGTGCGTTTCTGTGTCTGTGTGTGCCCTGCGGTGGGCCGGCGTCCCGTCCAGGGTGTCTGAAGTGGATCCAAAAAGGATGGCTAGTTGGAAATCCGAAGAAATCTCCTGCGTGATCACACGTCTGATTCCCGACACAATCTTCCGGGATGCTCCTGGGTTTTCTTCCGGGCCGCAGAGCACTGTGACCCCCAGTTTTCAGCGGGGGGGGGCTCCTGTCCTCTGACCGGCCGTGTGCTTGCTTGTGTCCCAGGGCGACTCGGGCGGGCCGCTGGTGCACAGCGGCGTGGCGGTGGGCATCACGTCCAATGGCAGCAAGAAGTGTGGGCGCCCCAAGAAGCCGGGGGTCTACACCGTGATTTCGCGCTACGCCCAGTGGATCGACAGCACCATGCAGCAGTGACCCGCAGTGCTCCTCACGCCCCCCCCAGCGCCAGGGGAGATGGGGGGGGGCAGGGCGGCGGCCCGCTTTGGGGAAACAGAGGCGCTTAGCCTTGTACTCTTTCAGCTGCGCCTGCTTTGTTAACCAGCCTGATTAAAGCAATAAACTGCCTCTCATTGCAACAGGAGCTCTCAATGGCTTTATTACAGTGTGGCAAAGGCCCTGTGGAGGCACCTGTGGTTATCTGCACCGAGCAGTTGCTGACAGGGAGTGTCTCAACGATGAGGCCGAGGTGTTGCCGGTGAACTTTGCGAGAGCGCCCGCAGAGTAAAAAAATGCTCTGAACTTAATTAAGCGAAGGGTAATGACCAGACAGTAGATCGCCTGTTCGATATTTATCTTCATGGTTGTGATAGCAGTGTGAGTTTCGGCCCGAGCGAGGGGTACCACAGCCGTGCGCCTTTCCTGCAATCGGAATAAAATCGGACATCGGGGTATTCAGCCTTCTAGTGCATTGAGTTGTAGCTCATCGATCTACCCCCCCATCCAGCTGCTTCTTGAAAGATTGGCGCATCTCGGCTTCAATAACATATCTAGGTAGCTTGTGCCCCACTCCCTCCACTCTCTGTGTAAACAAGTGCCTCCTGTTCTCAGTTTCAACAGGCGGCGGTAACTTACAGTAGGTGGGGACACCCTGATCTCCAGCTCCCCTCAGTGTAGTGTAGAAAGACACTACTGCTAGATCTCCCATATCAC